AATTTTTTTTTGAAAATTGACTGCTGCTGAGTTATATATTTTCTAGACATCAGTGCTTTTATTTGAGCAAAATATGCCCCAATTTTTGTGGAGTAATCACTTAAAATTTCAGCGTCCTCCAGTGACAAACATAATGAATTCAGTTTTCTTTTCATTTTACATCAAAAAAAGTGCTGAAAAAGTTTTCGTTCGATATTTTGACTTAGCGTCAAATTTTTTTGTTAAAACTTTCAAACTTGCTGCCGAAAAACAAAAAGACATTTTTGATGAAACAAACCATAAAGAGTTAAATATATGATTATGTTAAATAAGGTTTAATTTTAATAATCTTCAGAAACTTTTTTGAACAAAATTGAAAATTTAACCCATTCTGCGTTTCAAAATTTTGTGCTTTAGATAGTTATCCATCTGCAAAAAATCATTCATTTTTGAAGCATTTCAATTGTCAGGTACTCTCTAAAGACCGTAATCTTTATTTTTTTTGTGATTTTTTTTGTCTAATTTTGTAAATTCTAATTTTTAGAATCTTTCACTTTATACAGCAAAACAATCAAACTGAGCATCAATTTGAGCAAAAATTTGCTATCTAAGAGACTGTGCAAGTAGGAGCGAATATGCTTCTATTGTCATTTCACACACGTAAAAAGTTCAAAAAAACTTTGCGTGACGTTTTGGTGTATTCGGGCTTTCATAACAGCATACATTTACTTATTTTATTTTTTCATTTTGTTCCAGTTATTAGGGGTAAATTTTTCGGAAACAATTTTTTTACTGAGAATATTTGAGAAAAAATTAACAAAAATACCAAACACTGAACTGCTGATAAACTGAATTGAGAAAACCAATTTTACCGGAAAATTAAACCATCAATGTGCTGCTATATTCTGTTGCACTTAATGAGGGGAGGTGCATGCCTTTATCTAGAAAACAAAAGAGCCCGTCACAAAAGAGGGACATAAAATGGTATTACTTAGATAACATCATCTATTTTTTCGCGTTACCGAAGACAACAGGAAGTGTATTTCAGGATCATCATCTACTATATGTTCAATTTAAAAGAAAACTATCGATGCTCCATCCTAACAAATTTGACTTGTTTTAGAGGGGTCGTTTCTTAACAAACTTGCTGACTGTTATAAACAGGTAACTACAACATTAAAATTTTATGGGTTATTTTACCGTTATAACAGGTAAATACCCAACAGTTTGACCGACTATCCGATCGTATTTTTTGCTGTGAAATCGTTTTTGTGTTCCACTTTTAACACAGATATCTCCACCTCAATTAACTCAAGCGCTACCTAAACTTGAACTTTGAAGTCTTCTTTAAAAATGTTTTTTTTTTCAAAAGCCGCGAGAGTTGCACTGATATATTTTCAGAAATTGCTTGGGGCAATTCGAAACTTGCACAAACTCTAAATGATTTCACTTTGAATCCTGAAAAAATAGATTTGTTCTAAAAAAAGATTGTGCATTGTTTGATTAAAATCTTTTTGTTTGAGCTTAAGGTTGATTTATAGCAACAAAAATTACATAATACAAATACTTTGATCACAGAGCAGGGCAAAAATTTTACTAGCTCATAGTGTCTTGTTAAAACTTTAATTTACTTCCTCGGATTAATTGTTTTAAAACTGAATTGCGTAAATAATACAAAACCATCTAGTATTTAAAAGAAAAAAGTAAAAATATGAGAAAATAAACAAAAATAAAGAAAAAAAGCAATAAAAATGTCTATTTTCACCCTTTTCTTTTTTTTACTTTAGGGTCCACATAGCTAAAAGAAAAAAACTAAGCATTTTTTCTGTATTGTGTCTCACAAAATATCATCAAGTTTGGGTGAATATAGCGCTACAGGAGCTATATACTTTATTTCAAATATATTCGTGTTTTTCTGCCAAAATTTATCCAGAGGCATATATTTTCCGTTCTGTATCCGATCAACGAGTCGGCTCTTTGGTTAGCAGGGAGTTCCCCTCGTTGCTTTTTTTGCAAGTCTTGATGTATACTCGATCTTCCATTCAACAGTATCAATCACGTGTAATTCATCATCTTCGTCAACTCGCATAAAAAGTGTTTTACCTCGTTTTGTCAAGAACAAGTGCTGAGATAACGCAATAATTAGTAGTCATTTTCAAGAGTGATCAACCGTATCTCTGATTTTTGTAAGATCTTAAAACGTATTTTGATCAAAATTTTTTGTCCTTCAAGGACTCCGAAACATCATTAGCAATTAAATATCTCATCGCCAGTACTCTTTTTGATCTAAAACGGATTTTTTTCAGATTGTCTATAACTGGGTGTCTGGAAATGAGCTCTCTGACATCATTGTTGATATTAGAGCACGAGCAAAATGTACAGGGTTTCAGACTTTAAAAGGTACCATTGACATCAACTACACTTTTTTTTGAAAAATTGACTGCTGCTGATTTATATATTTTCTCGACATCAGTGCTTTTTTTTTGAGCAAAACATGTCCCAATTTTTGTGGAGTTTTCCGCGTAAAATTTTCAGCGTCCTGCTCTGACAAACAAAATGATTTCAATTTGTTTTTTCTTTTTACATCAAAAAAAGAGCTGAAAATTTTTTCGTTCGAAATTTTGACTCAACGTCAAATTTTTTTGTTAATATTTTTAAACTGCTGAAAAACAAAAAGACATTTTTGAAGAAACAAATCATAAAGAGTTAAAGATAAGAATTTGTTAAATTAGGTTTAATCTTAATAATCTTCAGAAACTTTTTTGAAGAAAATTGTAAATTTAACCCATTCTGCGTTCCAAAATTTTGTGCTTTACTTTGTTGTCCATCTCCAAAATTCATTCATTTTTTTGAAGCATTTCATTTTTCAGGTACTCTCTGAATACCGTAATTGTTTTCTTTCTCTGTGATTTTTTTCGTCTAATTTTATAAATTTTAATTTTTAGATTCTTTCACTTTATATAGCAAAACAATCAAACTGATTTCACTTTGAATCCTGAATTATAACTTGTTCAAAAAAAGGTGGTTCATTCTTTGATTAAAATCTTTTTTTTTGTGCTTAAGGTTGATTTATAGCATCAAAAATTACATAATAAAAATGTTTTGATCACAGAGCAGGGCAAAAACTGTACAAACTCATAGAGTGTCTAGTTAAAACTTTAATTTACTTCCTCGGATTAGTTGTTTAAAAACAGAATTGCGTAAATAATACAAAATCAGCTAGTATTTGTTCAAAATTTACCCTTTGTTTAATCCTTTTGAATTCCTACGAAAAAACTGAAGAAAAAAATGAAAAATATGAGAAAATAAACAAAAATAAAAAAAGCAATAAAATTGTCTTTTTTCACCCTTTTTCTTTATTACTTTAGGGTCCACCTGGCTAGAATAAAAAACTAAGCATTTTTTCTGTATTGTGTCTCACACAATATTATCAAGTTTATCTAGAGGCATATATGTTATCTAGAGGCATATATCTAGAGGCATATATCTAGAGGCATATATTTTCCGTTCTGTATCCGATCAACGAGTCGGCTCTTTGGTTAGCAGGGAGTTCCCCTCGTTGTTATTTTTGCAAGTCTTGATGTATACTCAATCTTCCATTCAAAAGTATCAATCACGTGTAATTCATCATCTTCGTAAACTCGCATAAAAATTGTTTCACATCGTTTTTGTCATGAACAAAAGCTGAGATAACGCAATAATTAGTAGTCATTTTCAACTTCACTTTGATTGCGGCTCTCTTGAGTTCTGCTTCTCGTTAATGACACTGTTACGTATATATTAGGCCAGTTGATCTTGTTATATGGATATTTCAGATTTTTTTGGCTCTGTAAATAGCGTGCATATTATCGATAAAAAAAGAAGGAACATGCAAAAGATAGTGGGCATTTTTCTACTTTTCCTCATGTACATATGAACAGTTTTAATTCCCGCACAAGATTTAATTACCTTCAGATGGGTGTAGAAAAAATCAATTGTGGCATCCGTATAGTCAGTTACACTCCCTGCACACGTTTTTGCTAGCATATCGTGCAGCCTGTTCTCGCAGCTTTTTGTGTTTATTCATTTGTTTAGATTTATGATCTTCAATTTTTTTACTCGTGTTTTTTATTTGTATTTGTACTCACGGGTACCTCCTGGGTTCAAGATAAAGTTGGTTTCTGAAGTGGGTTTCCACTTTCGGTTTCCATAAGCATTATGAAACTCAATGTGATATAAGAAACCGTAGAAACAATCTTTTTTTTCGAAGGTTAGATTTACTGAATCAGCGTGGGAAACTATCTGCGGAAGTTTTGTGAAATCAGAGCATCTCAAGTTATCAGGATTTTCGACTTTTCCGCGGCTTCAGAAGTTAAAATAACTTGACGCGTAATTTTGAAGAGGTTAGTTTTGTATTTTTGACGGTAAAGTTTTTGATTCATTTGATCTTTTTTATGTTGAAAGAAATAAAATTCAGATTATTTGCAAGGTCAACCAACCAATTTCTAAGACTAAATGTTCCAGTCTACTTGTTTTCTTAAGCTTCCCTTGAGTAGCATACGATGGAAAATGCTGATAATTTTATTCTGACCAAATTTGCTGATCAGTGTTGAAAACAAATAGCACTATCAAGTTTTCAAAAACGTTTGCGTTCTTGAGTTCACAAACCGACAAAAAGACAATTTCTAAATTTAATTGATGAAATAGAGAACAATCTAATGCGGAAATATTGCAAAATTTTAGCTTTTGTTACTCTTTGGATACTCATCATCTATAATAACTTCATTTTTTTAAATAGGGAACGACAGATACGACATTTTAAAAATTTACAAACTGAACAAAAATAGAACTGGGACGAAGTCAAGTTAAACGCTGCAGTGCAAATTATTGTAATGATTCTTTTCCAAATACCTTGCGCTTCAGGATTGACTTTTTGAAAATCACCTTTAGATAAAATTTCCTCAAGAACAGAAAAAAAGAAAAACCTAAATTAATTAACCTTTTATATATTGTTTTTATGGAGGTAATTTTCATTTACACGAGCTCGTTGTTCGCTGGAAAAGAAGCTAACCTTTTATGCTTTTACTTAGTTACTGCTTACAAAAGATTTTGCAATTGTTTATTTTTTGTGTTGTTTGCATCTTGCGATGATCATACAGTGGCCTCCCTCTGACTTCCGCTCTCTTTTACTCCTCCACCGACCCCTCCTACCGACTGACGACTGCTGGGTCTGGTGGTGTTGTTGGCGTGGTGGTTGACCCCCACTGTTGCAGTCATGGGGGTGTAGTAGGGTCCGGGCGGGGGACTGAGCACCTGTGAATTACTGTTCTGGCGGGGAAGGGACAGAGTGGCTGCTGACGCCACTGGTGCATTTAGCGGAGGAGGGGGTAGGGGAGGTCTGCTGCCGAAGCTTTGTTGTTGTTGTTGCTGCTGCTGCTGCTGCTGCTGCTGCTGCTGCTGCTGCTGCTGTTGTTGTTGTTGTTGTTGTTGTTGTTGTTGTTGTTGTTGTTGTTGTTGTTGTTGTTGCTGCTGGGAGTGAGGGGGCATAGAAGAATATCCTCCCGCTCCGTAATAGTTGTTGTTGTCAATATTTGAGGCTGCGTGCATATGTGGAGTGGCGATGTTAGCTTGAAGTGATGCTGAAACAATGCAAAAATATGACAATTTTATGTCTCAAAATACATCAAAGTGTTAAACATAGCGAACAGACAAGCAGGGGCGAATTTAGAACTTTCTCGAAGGGGAAGAGGCAGATTTTTAGGAAAATTTCAAAAAATTTGTCGATCTTTTTGGATCAACTAAGTTGATTGACCGAAACGCTATTAAAACCCTATTTTGACAAAACTATTTAGGCCGCAGGCATATCTTGCCAAAAAATCGCATTTTTTGGTGCGTGCTCTCTTTCAAAATCAGTATACATTGGCGCCAAAGGCGCCTTTGGGAAAATTTTAGGGTTGGTCGGCCAAAAATGAATGTCATTAAAAACCAAAGAAAGGATCTTTTGTTTGGCGAGGAAGTCAAATTTTACTAAGCGATCATTGCTGGTTGAATGCTTAGTAATTTTATCCTAAATTATAAGTCTCACCTTAGATCGTCAAATTGTCTTGACAAAAAGTAGAGTAGAAACAATAGTTAGAAAAGGTATGGATTTTCAAAACAAGATTTTATAGTCCTAATAAGAGTAAATCAGTCAATATCTGATTTAGTGAAAAGAGGCTTTAATTTAAATGGCACGCTCCAATTTAGAATTGGGTCGTTAAATAAACAATTAAGACAATGGTCTTTTGTGTGTGTAGTTTTTCGCAATACTACAAAATCCTTTCGAGTTTCAAAGAAAAAATATGACTCTAAAGCTCTTTGAGTTTCAAAAATTTTTTGAAAAAATTAACCCAAATTGAGAAAACTGAATCAATGCATACACTTTTTATTCCGCTGTAAAACCCCAAAAACAATATACACTTTCGAAACTAGTCGGCGATCACGTTTTTCTTGACCTTTACAGTTTTGCTGGCCTCTTTTTCCATTTCCCCACTACCTCACACATGCATCAATTTTTGTTATAACAAGGGGTCTTACAAGGTTAAGTATGAAGACCAAATATGTTTTTCATAGCCCAATTAGTACGCATATCAATTTTTGTATGATTGGGATAAAGTGAACAAACTTTCACTCGTAAGCCTTTGCAGGTGGGGGAAAAGGAAAAAGGGATTTTTGCGTTATGATAATTAATGATCTACAACTGACCAGTTTGGTTCCGCGAAGCTGACATTGTTTTGAAAGCTTTTGTTAACCTCCATAAATTGAAAGATCGAATCTTCATTGCGTCTGACAGGCTAGTTATAAGTTTAGCAAATAAAGGGGGCTCCACTTATTTAGTTCATGTAATTTTTCACTTAAGTATTGCTGCAGGAAATCAAATGAGTACAATCAGCAGTTTGGCCTTATCTTGTCTGCGTATAGAACAAGAGTTGCTACAATTTGTGTTAGATTTTCTTGGTTGCGCTCAAACAAAAAGTCGTGTGGTGATTAAATTTGGTGATAGAATTTTAGGCTTTTTTTCCTTTTACCCGACCTTGCAAGAACATAATTTTTAAGGTGTAACTAGTGAATTCACAAGGTTAATGATGAAGAACAAATGTCATAACCTACTTAGTTGGTATGTAAATTTTCATTACAATTGAACAATTAGAGCGAATATTTTGCTTGTAAAATTTTGCAGTGGGGGGAAAAGGAAAAAGAGCCGAAATTTGATTTCTTTTTTTTTGCGCGTGATGATACGTGACTGCCTGGTTCATTCTGCTTGAAGAAACTTTATCCTTTTGCTGTTCCAAAGAGTTTGCCTTCCTTCTAACAAATGAAAGGAAATGAATTTAGTAAGAAATCAAAAGTCAACCCGCAAAAATTAAATTTTGACTTGAAGCAATTTTAGGACTTTCTCAGGGGAAAAAAAAACAAAAAAAAATCATCAAGACCAATATAAGAGTGCTTAAAATCGGTAGTAAGCAAAGACGCGAAGTGGCCGGAACAGTTATATCTTTTTAAATAAAGTGTACAATTAAATAAGGATCTCACACAACTCCAATGAATTTTTTGAAAATATAATTTTTTTCCTGATGTCAAAACTAATTTGTTTTTTCTTATTGAACATTTTTATAATTGTGAAAAAATAATATAAGAATCAACTAGGGATTTGGACGTTTGTTCAATTAGGCAGAGATAAATTAAGATGGAAATATCTGCATTTTCAAAGGTTTTCCAGCAAACAGTTGTTTGAAAGAAAGAGCAATGATCTCATTTGTAGAAATCTTTGCATCTTTCTCTGAGTTTTTCATACTCACTGGTTGTTTTTGGGTGGTACACAGACCCATTGGCGGCGGCAGCAGCAGCATTTAGCATGTTGAAATTCAGTCCTGGGGCCCACTTATTAGCCGGGGGGTTATTGGGGCCCTGCTGGTTCATCATGCCCCCGCTCCCCGGATACTGATTCTGGTTCATATTATGATTCAGATGAGTCATATTCACGTGGTATCCAGAAGCATCATAAACTGCATTCATTTCTGTATTGTAGCCGAACAATTCTTTCCTAAAAGGAAACCCAAAAAACATTTCAATTCGAATTGGCAATCGAGCCTAACTGATTGCACAGATATTTCACCGATGATTAGAAGTATATTCCCTCGAAATTTTGGTAATCTGTCTCGACTTCAGTCTGGTGTCTGAATTCGAACTCATAAAAGGCAATAAAGTGATTAAAATAGTAAGTTAATAATCGTAAACCTCATAGGTTTTGCGGCTTGAGGAACTCGGTGACTGCATAGAATTACAAATCTGAGAACCATTTGAGTTTGGGAAGGAAACTTTACATTAGGTCTTAAAAAATTTGTGATTTAAAAATAAACAGAATTGCTCTTTTCAGGTCGAAGCCTTGAATGTTCCGACTGCCTTCTAACGTCCATAGAGCAGTAATAACGTGAAAAAATTGAATGTAAAAAAAAATAAAACATTTTTTTTTTGAAATTTGAGATTTTTTTTTGTGAATATCATCCGCGCACACGCTAAATAAAGTAGAAAGTAACAGATTTCGCTCCTTTTAACACATCAATTATGGCATTTAAGCGTCCTGTAACCAGTTTGAACGATTTCTAAGAGAGATTAAATTTCCGCTTACGCGTTAATAGCGCGAAATAAATCGCGCGTTAATTGTCCAAAATTCGCCAAAGTGGCAATCTTTAAACGCCTATGACTTTAAGAAAAACGATCACAGGTGAAATATCTTATCAAATTTAAGCTCAGGACAACAATAGCTTTTGATTGACAAAAAAAGCTGTCAAAAATGGCCAGTGAAAAAGTCAAAATTTCTCTGAAGAAAAAACCCACCCGAGCACAAGCATTCCATTACTTTCGTTACGAAAGTCGGGACAACAAGACTGCTCTTATCAGGGCGAAGCCATGAATGTTCCGACTGTCTTTTAAAGTTTATGGAGCAGTATTAACATAAGAAATTTAAATGTAATAAAAAAAAATGAAAACTTTTTTCTAAAGTTTGAAATTTTTTCATGAAAATCATCACCCCACACTCCATATAAAACACAAAAGAATAAAATTTTCTCAGCGTAACAAATTAATTATGACCAATATGCTTCTTTCAACCAAATTGGAACGATTTCTAGGACGGATTAAATCTCCACTTACGCGTTAATAGCGCGAAATATATCGCGCGTTAGTTGTCCCAAATTGGCCAAATTGGCAATCTTTAAACCCCCATAACTTTACGAAAAATGATCACAGGTAAAATATCTTTTCAAATTTAAGCTCAGGTCAACAATACTTTTTGAATGGTATTTAAAAATTCCGTCAAAAATGGCTAGGTAAAAAGTCGAAATTTGTCTGAAGAAAAAAAAACCCACCCCGAGCACAAATAATTGTTATTTTCGTATCGGAAGTCGGAACAGTAAGAATAATAGTATTAGGGTGAAGCCCTGAAGGTTCCGACTGCCTTTTATTTTGTATAGACCAGTAATAACATTTAAAAAATCAAATGTAATAAAAAAAAATGAAAAAAAAATCCTAATTTTGAAGGTTTTTTTTAAATGAAAATCATCCGTACACACGCCATATAAAGTACAAAAGAGTAGATTCGCTCCTTGTAACAAATCAATTATGGCAAATAAGCTTCCTTCAACCAATTTGGAACGATTTCTAAGACGGATTAAATCTCCGCTTACGCGTTAATAGCGCGAAATATATCGCGCGATAATTGTCCAAAATTCGCCAATGTGGCAATTTTTAAACCCCCATAACTTTACGAGAAACAATCACAGGTGAAATATCTTTTCAAATTTAAGCTCAGGCCAAAAATACTTTTCGAATGGTTTTTAAAAAACTCTGTCAAAATTGGCTAGTTAAAATGTCGAAATTTGTCTGAAGGAAAAAAAAACCCAACCCGAGCACAAATATTCCGTTACTTTCGTTACGAAAGTCGGAACAAAAAAGTTCCATACTTTGATAGTAAAGACTCGTCCACCGCATCATGTGCACCAGAGGATCCCTTTGAAGATGCGCTTCCTGTGCCTCTTTGGTTCACGAGTTTGTACCAAATCAATTCACCCATGGCTGCGGCCACCGAGAGAATCGATCCGAGCACCAGTACGAAGAACACACCAGCCACATTTTTGATTTGGATGCCTAAACAAACATATAGGATGAATAAGATGAGAAAACTTGAATAGTCAAAAAACTGAAATTTGTTTAAAGAATACAAGATCTAGAAGTAAGAGTAGCCGGTTCTGTATAAGTAATAGCACAAATTGTTCCGAGCTAACATATCTAATTCTGTGAAACAACTTACTCTTCCGACTTTCATTTCAAAAGTAACGGAATATTTGTGCTCGGGGTGGGTTTTTTTCTTCGGTAAATTTTCACTTCTTAACTAGCTTTTTTGACGGATTTTTGAAGAATCATTAAAAAGGTATTGCTGTCCTGAGCTTAAATTTGAAAAGATATTTAACCGGTGATCATTTTTTGTAAAGTTATCGGCGTTTGAAGGTTGCCATTCTGGCCAAAAGGGACATTTAACGCGCGATATACTTCGCGCTAATAACACGTAATCCGAGAAATAATCCGTCGTAGAAATCGTTCAAATTGGTTCAAGGAAGCTTATTTGCCATAACTGATTTGTTAATAGGAGCGAAACCTATCACTTTCTACTTTATATGGTTTGTGTGAGGGGGTGATTTTCACAAAGAGCAGTCAGAACATTCAAGACTTCGCCCTGATACGAGCAGTCTTGTTGGATTTTGAAATATGATATCCTTTGAGTGTAGTTTTTATTCAGCATCATGCAATGACACAGGATCGTAAGCGCAGTTGAATATAAATCTATTTTTGTATAAAAAAGGAAATTTCGAATTAGTTTTGTACTGTGAAAAAAAAGTGTTTGAAAGTATTTTGATGCAGGACGTATCAAGCTAAAAAAAAGCTTCAAAACGGTTCAATCGACTCTTTTGATGTGTTGTGTAGTCTAGTCTTTACATGTCGTTTAGTCTCGTTGAATAGCTATTTTACCACCTCTTTGGTTGCCGTAAACTATTCAAGAATTGTTCGACTTCGATAAAAATAAATATACAGAAACAGTATAAAAATATTTACAAGAATGCTCAGGGCGAACACCTGAATGTTCCGAATGTCCCATAATTTATATCGAATAGTTTTTGGGAAAAGAAAATATTGAAAACCTATACCTTTTGGACAAAATCAATGTTCTACGAAATTATTGCGGCCAATTCATAGCCTCAATTCAACTTGGAACGATTTAAATATAGCATAAATATTTCGCGTAACGCTCTCAGCATTATGCACAAACTTTTCAAGCCGCTCATAATTTAGACCATTAAATTGCAAATTTGTCAATTTTCAATCCCCCAGAATTTTACAAAAAGTTTTTGGAGTTGAAATACCTTTTTTATCTGAACTCAGGAAGTTGATATCTTCAATGGATATAAAAATCTTTGTTAATAATTATTTTTTCGATCAAAGAAAAATGACTGAATAAATAACCACACCGAGAATAAATATTCCGTATTCTTCCAAAGTCGGAACAATTTTATCAAATCTAGCGAGGAATATTTATGCTCGAGGTAATTTTTTTTTCTCCAGACCATTTTCGACTGTTGCCATTTAAACGGACCTTTGTATACCATCTGAAAACCACTGATGTCTAGTTCTCAAGGATAAATTCAGGACAACTATCACACAAGATGTTTCGTGTGATTAAAACGTATTTTTTTTAATCAACTCATAAACTGTTCCAAAAAGAATTGAAGCAAAAATCTGGTGTTATTTTTATGCTACTAAACGCTATGAATAAAATTTTGTGCTTAGCATAGAGCGTGCGGAGAAAAATATATATATTTTTGACAAATATCCAAAAAAAAACTTTTTTTTTACAAAAAAACTTTAACAACTTTTTTATTTGATGTTCTAAAGCTGTTTCAAATGGTTCAAAGGGCATTCAAAAAATGGAAGCTTTTGCCCTGCTTCGAGCGAACTGGATCTAATTAATAAGTTACGATATGGAGAATAGTTTTCAAAAAAATTAAAACTTTTTCATTAAAAATTTCCATTTTTTGGAATGTTCTTCAGTTTTTTCAAGTCCTGAATACTTCTCCATAATTATTAGGCGGTAGTCGGATCATTCATGGTGTCGCCTTGATACGAGCAACCTTATTTTCTTTTTTCTTCCTAGCCGATACAAGTGCCATTTTAAGAAAATCTTTGCTGTTTGGTCATTTTTAGGATAAATTACCGCATAAACTGACTTTAAAAATGGGTTTTTTGTTTGTTTAACTGCGTAAACTGGTTAAAACTACATAAGCTGGAAAAACTGCCTTATCATAGGTAGAGTTGTTATCTCATATTGTAAATGAATATATTGTTGTCAACACTATTTTCATTCAGCGACTCTCATATCATTTCAATGACCTTTAATTGCTCATTTGCTCTCTGCAACCATCCTTGCAAACAAACATGTAAGCTGATGACAAAAACCTAATAAACTTGAAAAAGTTTTTGCTCTGAACGTTTAGAAAGTCCAAGGATACCTAAATTGCTCGCAGTTTGGAATCATGTTTATAAGACTATTCGTATATCAAGGCGAGTACCGAATATTTTGACTGCCGTGTTGAGAATCTCAAACAAGTTTGGTGCAGATAATTTTGAATCTATCTAAATTTTAAACTGTTTCATCTCCGCCAGCCAATATATAGACAAGATTTTTGTTTTGAATTTTCAAGCATTCCTCCAAATTTTGTTTAAAAACAAATAGATATATTTAGCATATGGCAGCGTAATAATCAGAACAACTGGCAAGCTTCAATTCAATTTGTAACAATTTATGATTTGTTTTAAATCGCTGATTACGCGTTGATAGCACTAATAGCGTTCATTAGACGATGTTGGCCACAATGGCATTTTTCAAACCCTTACAAATTTGAGAAAAACAGATAATTAGTTTTCAAATTTGAACTCGAAATGTCAATAATCTTCAGATGACAGGAAAATCATGACAAAAGTGTCTAGTTAAAAAATCGAATCTTGTCTGGAGAAAAAACCAACCCACTTTAAATTTTCGTCACTTTCTGCAAAAATTGGAACAAAGAAAGATAAATTAAGAGGAATTTTAAAGGAACAAATTAGTTCGTGTATTTCGATAAGTAACGACATGAGAGCAGGATAAATTGCTACGCATATAATTTTCGCGTTTCATACTTTCAAAATTTTACTGAAAGATTTCCAAAAAATAAATATCGGTTTTACAATTGGGTTCAAGGAGCCGATAAAAATCACTCTTAAAATTAACAATTCCATCGGACAGCATCGGTTTCAATAAAAATGAACATATCAGGAAGAATCCACAAGTCTTTTTTACTATTTTTTTTTTGAAGAAAAAAAACATCTCCCTGCACACCCTACGTACAAAGTGATAAACTTCACTCGTAGTGACAAATCAGTTATGGCAAATAAGCTTCCTTCAACCAACATGGAACAATTTCTAAGACTTGAACGATTAAATCTCAGCTTACACGTTGATAGCGCGGAATATATCGCGCGTTAATTGTCCCAAATTGGCCGAAATGCCAATCTTTAAACCCCCATAACTTTACCAAAAATGATCATAAGTAAAACATTTTTTCGAATTCAAGCTCAGGAAATTATTACCTTTTGAATGATAAAAACCTCCATCAAGAATGGCTAGTAAAAAGTTGAAGTTTCTCCTAAGAAAAAATATTCCGTTGCTTTCCTTACAAAAGTCTAAGCAATATAAAAAAAATGAAGGGCAACTTGAAAAGTTAAGTTTTTGACCTAGCATGACTTTTGTCTCATTTGGGAATGACTTTCAAGATCTTGAAGCTATTTATGATGGTACGTACATTCCGTAAAAACTGTTGTTGTTCCGACTTTCATAACGAAAGTAACGGAAAATATGCGCTCGGGGTGTTTTTTTTTCGTCAGACAATTTTCGACGTTTTAAATAGCCATTTTTTGCGGCTTTTTAAAATTTTATTTTAAAGTTATTGTTGTCTTCAGCTTAGATTTGAAAAGATATTTCACTTGTGATCATTTTTCGTAAAAATATGGGGTTTTGAAGAATGCCATTTTGCATTTTGGCCAACTTGAGACAATTAACGAGCTATTAGCGTGTGAGCGGAGATTTGATCCGTCATAGAAATTGTTCCAAATTGGTTTAAGAAAGTTTATTTGACATAATTGATTTGTTATTAGTAGCGCAATTTATCACTTTGTACTTGATTGGCGTAGTTTTTTCATTTTATTTCTGCTTCATAGACCTTCGCCTTGATAAGAGAAGTCTTGTTGTAACTTTTGAATTTTTCGGACTCAAGGGAAAATAGCCAGCTCGAAGCTTAAATTTATTTCAGCGGAACAAAAATCATGCGCGTTTATCCATTTAAACTGAACTTAAACTGAGCTTGAAATGAGTAACAAAACCATACAAAATCAATGTACTATAGCCTCTGAAAATTTTGATAAGCTTTATAGTTGAATATGGCTTAGCCTACTAGTTGCCAGTGACTTTTTGTGCTTTGCTTTGCAATATTTTTCACGATTCTTAATTTTAAAAAAATTAAGGACAGGCAACTGGAATAAGAGCAAATGTATGAGAAACAGAACAACACTCCAAATATGTTTACTAAACAATTAGTGTGAAACCCAAATCATTAAAGCGAGTGTCACCTTCGGGGAAAATCTCACGTGTCAGAAACACGAAAGGTCCGAAAATTGATCCATCCAATCAGAATTCTGTTGGAAAACAGTTTAAAAAAAGTGTTAAAATTAGTCCGTTTTTAGGACTTTTAAGAACAATAATTGTTTTAAAAGGTTTCGGCATTCGTTCATCTGGCATGAGAAACCCCCCTCCCCAACTCAACCGGGTGAGTATATTGGGATAAGTGACGCATGCATATGGTTATAACAATAGCAGCAGCGGCAGCGGTGCAACTAACCTGTGGCTAAACAATAGGGTAATCTTAACATCACTACACCTATTTTTATAGCGTTTAAGTAATTAAATTTGAGCCCTCATATCATGTTGGGATTGCCTGAAATGCCTTGAAATTTTATTTAACTGATCAGGGGCGGATCTAGGATTTTCTCGAGGGGGGGGGGGCGGATTTTCAAAAAAAAAAATCGAACATTTTACCGACCTTTTTTTAGGTCGACCAAATTGATTTTGCGAGCTCTCCCAAAGCACTACAAAGACCGGGAATGACCAGAAGTTACAATTCGGAAAAAAAGAAAACCGGTGATTTCGTTTATTGTTCCGATCACCACCGTCCCCCTGAAATTGTGGGAAAAAGTAAGGTAAACAAATTCAAAAAAATCGAACATTTTGCCGACCTTTTTTTAGGTCGACCAAATTGATTTTGCGAGCTCTCCCAAAGCACTACAAAGACCGGGAATGACCAGAAGTTACAATTCGGAAAAAAAGAAAACCGGTGATTTCGTTTATTGTTCCGATCACCACCGTCCCCCTGAAATTGTGGGAAAAAGTAAGGTGGATTTTACTGAACTCGAAGAAAACTCGTTCGGAGGTTAAGTGCAAAATCAAATTAAAGCTCTTTTCAGCCGTGATTTGGATTCCAAAAAAAATGAAAAATAAGCTGTCTCAGTATCGAGAAAACATTTTCCGATTTTCAGACAAACTTCACAAATTTTTTGTGGCTCTCAATTTGATGTTTAAGACAAAATATTACTTTTTATGCGAGGTGTACATTGTTTTGATTATTGCTACCTCTTATTCTTGCGACATTTTAATAATTTCATTCACCTTTCATAAATAAACCAATAAATCAATTTTCAATCATTTTAGAAATTTAGAAAATTATAATTTTTTTTTTATATTTTCAAATTTTCTTGTTGCTAAGCCCCAAGTTACAAAAGACCATTCTAGTGAGGCAGTTTTGGCTCTTTTCCAGTTTCCCCCCCCCCCCCTTTCAAAATACCGAGTTTTATCTCTGTTTTACGTGTTATTACGGCTAAATGCGTAATGTTACGCTGTAATGTATGAAGAACAAATCTGTTCAGAATTGTCGATTTGTTCACCACGCCAAATTTCATTGCATTATGACATCGTTAAATAGACTTTTCAAATTTGATTTTGAAAGGGGGGGGGGGGAAACTGGAAAAGAGCCGCAGTTTTTATTAAAGGTTGGCTAAAATTAACAGAAAATCTTTATTCTGCAAGCAATTTGAAAAAACTTCTCATTTCAGTCAATTTAGTTAAGGTTGCAAGTTTACTACAGTGAATTCGCAAGGCAAACGCAATTACTTATTGCGCACAAATCATGAAGCAAGTGCAACGTTTTTCTGCCTTGTTCCAATTTATCCCTGATAAATTATCCATTTTCGAGCAACCTTCTGAGTTTAAATATTTAAATTAGGAAAATAAAAACGAAAATGAAAGAGCGTTTTTAAAAAGAAAACTTCAAAAAAATTTTCTACAAGTTTTAGCAAACATTTTAAAAATTTTATGTTTTACGTTTTTGTTTTTATCATCCTTTGTGAAAATTCAGATTGAGAATGTTGAGAATGGATTAGTTATCAGGGCTTATGTAAATTTATGTGTGGCAGAAATACATTGCACGTGCTTCATGATTTGGGCGCAATTTCGAATAAGTAGGTTTTTCAGGAAGGAACCCAATTTTTTGCAGCTTGAGCCACATTTTTCAACGCATTACGGTTTCTCGCGAATTTTATTTGTTCTAAAGTCGTCCCAAAAAAACAAACAAATTTCAAAAAGTTTGTCCAAAACAAGTGTCGTTGCTTTTATAATCAGCCAAATCAAGACTGTAAGCGACTAAAGGAACACATAAATTGACCCATCTGACATACAATTGTGGTAGCTGGTTTGCGTGAAAAATAATATATATATATTTTTAGAAATAATCGCCACCAGACAGTTAAAAAGAGCCAATAGACACATCAAAGCCAAATTAAACTACTCAAAGTTTGACTCAAGCTTGATTGACGTTGGTCAAATGATTGACATTACATCAAATTGGCAGAAAAAAGATATAAACAACAACAGCTATGAAGATTACCTTCGTAAAAGGGAAAAAAACTGAGCAAACTAAAAAACTCTTTTCATGTTTTATCAACGTTCAAAAAGAGACAAACCACACTTAAATACTAAAACTCTCTCTGCTACATGTTCAAATTAAGAAAATTGAAATCAAACAAGACTGCTCGTATCAGGGCGAAGCCCTGAATGTTCCGACTGCCTTTTAATGTTTAATAAAATGTAATAAAAATGAAAAAAAAATATTTCTAAAATTTGAAATTTTTTTATGAAAATCATCCCCCACACGCCATATAAAGTACAAAAGGATAGATTTCGCTCCTTGTACCAAATCAATTATGGCAAATAAGTTTCTTCCAACTAATTTGGAACGATTTCGAAGACGGATTAAATCTCCGCTTACGCGTTAATAGCGCGAATTATATCGCGCGTTAATTGTCCCAAATTGGTCAAAATGGCAATCTTTAAACCCTCATAACTTCACGAAAAAAGATCACAGGTGAAATATCTTTTCAAATATAAGCTCAGGACAACAATAGCTTTCGAATGATATAAAAAAATTCCGTCGGAAAAGGCTAGTTAAAAAGTCGAAATTTGTCTGAAGGAAAAAAAACCCACCCGAGCACAAATATTCCGTTACTTTCGTATCGAAAGTCGGAACAATAAATGGAATTTTTCAAAGCTCAAGGCTGGGACCATAAATTTCTAGATGAGTTGTAGGTTTTCACTTCAGTTTCAGGATAAAATTTAGTTTTGACGCGGTCATCATTTCCAGTCCCAAACAAAACATTAAAGATTAATATATTTTTTATTTCGCGGCTCATAACAAATTGATGGGAAAATGCTCTTTCCTCTTTCAGGTTGCCAATTCAACTGAGCCGTATAAATTTGCCGAACTCAAGTAATTCGCACTAGCGCACGATCTGTATATATATGCTAATTGTATTTATCCAAAACAACGGATAACTTCTATAACTTTTTCTTTCTGGTATCAAGTAGCAAACCACTTCCGCGACAATTAGTCAAATCGATCGTTAAGGTTGTGAAAACATTGCTTAATTAACGCCAATTCGCCATTTTGCAATCAAGTTGACCTAATATCTCTTCTATTTATAGTTGATACATTCGTTCAACTAATCAGTGAGAATGATAACAGGTGAGCGTAGTAAAGTTAAATTGAGTAACATAATTGACAGTTGCCTCCCCAAAGTTTACCTGTGATGCTGGACCCCTTAGAGGAGTCTCCCCCGGCACAGCTGCTTTTGGGCTCGAACCACTTCCGCCTCATCTTGTCCAGTTTGCCAGACTCCTGCAGCGCCAGAATACT